TTTTCCATATCTTTGTTAGTCATTCACCATTATTGAGAACCACCCATAGAAAGCATCAGTGTTTTATCATGTGACTTAAGTGAATGACATAGTTGAAGATAAACGAAGGGGAATCTGAGCAGGAATGAAGATGTAATATGAACAGAATTGCTACAGAAAGAAAGAACAAACAAAGAAGAAACAAGCATCACTAACATTACAAAATCTAGACAACTTAGGGCTTATGGAATTGAGTCAAGGGTAGAAAAGTAAAATACCATTGAAAATATCTGTGAACAATTTTGGAATATTGTAGAAAGACCTAGAGCTCTTCATGTCCCTTTGAAGATGCCCTGCAATACACACAGTGTTACGGTCAGCCCAGCCACTTCCAGATACTAAGTCATCAGGACCACATGCTCAGAGTGGTACCGTGCACAGGAACTGAGCCCTCCTCCCCCATCAATCATTAATAAAGAAATTCTCCACAGCCTTTCCTCATAGGCAGATTTGAAGGTGCAGCTCTTCAGTTGAGGTTTGCTCTTCTCAGGTGACTTGAGTTTGGGTCAAGTTGATGAAAGTAACCTGCGCAATGGCACAAAGTGGGTAACACAGCCAAATAAAATCTAGTATCAGTTCCCGAGCTTCCAGTGGCTTCAATTACCTACCACCAATCATATTCTGAAAGTATTAAATGAAAATTTCCCCAAAATTAAAACCGATCTTAAGTTTGAAGCCAGGTGCTGCTCTGAGATCATGGTGAAAGGGAATGCTGTCTGCCCGGACACTCTCAAGGACATGAGCCGTCTCTGTGAGTAGTGTCTTAGTTGTAATGATAACCACTTACTTATGGCTTGATAACCCTGTCAGCTTGGCAACCCTGTCAGCAATTAGATCCAGTGTTCAGCATCTTATAGTTGATTATGCAATGCTTAGTGTTCGCTCACAGTCCTACCTCCTTCATAGACTCTGTGACATCACTTGGGCATAGCTCTTCTTCCCCTTGTCACTAGAAGCATGAGGATAGAACAATTTTAAGAGAAAGACACCGCATGTGCATAACTTCCATTACAAGGCAATGTTATAATTGCAATCTCTTTTTAAAAAAAAAGATTTATTTATTTATTTATTTATTTATTTATTTATTGTGTATACCATAATCTGCCTACATGCATGCCTTCAGGCCAGAGGAGGGCACTAGATCTTATTACAGACGGTTGTAAGCCACCATGTGGTTTCTGGGAATTGAACTCAGGACCTTCAGGCAAAGCAGGCAGTGCTCTTAACCACTGAGCCATCTCTCCAGCCCCTATAATTGCGATCTCTTTGTGTGTGACTTATAAAATAACCTATATCTCTAACATATCCGCATAGAGGAAAGTAGAGCAAGCAATGATGTTCATCATTGTCCAATTTCAGGTGGGTACCAGGAGAAATGGCACATAATCCCCATAGACAGGGAAGACTACAAAACAAGAATTGCTGAAGAAAGACAAGAAGCGTGGTGTAGCGAGATATTAACAACGTAAGGCCAGATGGAAGAGGAAGCAGTGGTTAGGGGAGGGAAAAAGAGCAAAAACCAAGAGCAATGGGCAGGAAGAGTCATTCAGCTAAGGGGAAACTCTGAACTAGGGAGATTGTCCCTAAGCAAATCATCAGGAAAGCCAGAAGTTTTGCATGTAACCCTGCCTTTTGACAGTAGTACATCACCAGGCAATTTGGCTTTAAAATAAGTATAAGAATGCAATTTGGGGGAGGATACCAAAACTGCACAAATGTGGAAAAGCAGCAAGTCCGATAAATGGTGCATGGTGAGACTCTGCAAATACAATATCTAGATAGTCTCAGTAAGAAGACAGAGACTTCAGCATGGATGCAAACTTTGCTAATATGATAAATTTCCGACACGTAGACTTTGAACCCACTGAGTAATGTGGAATAGCAAGCCTTGAATGCACTCAGAGAACTTCACTTAAAAATAAAAGGCCTGTCTAAAGGAAGGCAAAATGCAATTATTTAATGTGAATTGAAGTGTAATACATTACCTCAATTTTTCCTTCATACCCATTGAAAGAGTTCTTTCTTATCTAATATTCAAATAGATAAGTTTTACAGCACATTCAGATAGGCATGCTTAAAAACATAACTAAGGAATTCTTAGAACAGCTTTCCTCTAAACAACTTTGATTATTACATATGAAATGTGATAGAGTATAACTGTTTAGTGTGCACAATGTATTCATTTTGTTACATGAACATGAAACCATCTCAGCATTTAATCAATAAGACAAATATCCCCATCACTCCACGCCTCCTCCTATTCAATAACAGCTAAGCTATTATTGCCCCAACTCTCGTCTTTCTCCCTGTTTGCTCTTTGGGTTTCTGTCCCACGTTGGCTTGCACGTTTTTAGAACACTGTATTAATAAGATAGCAGAACAAATGCTCTTCTTTTCGTTTTGAGACAGGTTCTTCTTATATAGACCAGGCTGGCCCATAGTTGACCGCCCTTCTGCTTCAGGTTCCCAAGTGCTGTAATTACAAATGTGTGAGACCACAGCTATCTACTATGTTTCCAGTTGTTCCATTTTTCCTTGGGACTGGCTTCATTCAGTTGACAGAATGAGTTATTGATTCTTCATCTTAGTGTCCGTGGATAGATTATTCCGTTTGTAAGACGTTTGCTATGTATGTGCATATGTATCTGTAAATGGGTGCCCTTGGAGAACAAAGGCTTTGAACCCCCAGAGCTACAAGTAAAGGCTGTTGTGAGCAGCCAAATATGAGCAGTGTGATCAGGACTTGGCTCCTCTGAAACAGCAGTGCTCTAACTGCTGAGTCCCCTTGGCCTTCATTTTCATTGTATAGATACACTAGAATTTGCTCCTCTGTATTGCTTTTGGTGGACTCGGGTATACATTTCGCCTTCTTTGCCAGTGTTATTGGGAAAGTCCTTAGTCCCTTTGCAATTATCTCCTCTGTAAAACTTGAATTGAATGTCTATTTCACAGGAGTTTTAGAGAATCACGAAATGAACTAATGTGACGATTGACTACCATGCATTAAAAAAATTCTGGATACATTTCTTAGTTTTTGTAATTTTCTTTTTTTTTTTATGGCAGTGTTTCAAAACTGGGTTTCTCTGTGTAGCCTTGGTTGTCCCGGGACTCACTTTGTAGGGAGAATGACTTCAAATTCACAGAGACCCGCCTGTCTCTGCCTCCTGAGTTCGGGGAATAAAGGCATGCTCCACCGCTGCCCAACTAGTTGTCATAATTTTCTAATTGCGGTTTATTGTGCGATAATATTTTCTCATACTAAAACACATTGTTTTCCCTAGCACAGTGGTACAAATCTCTAACCCTAGCACTGAAGGTAGGGATAGAAGGGTTAGGGACTCTAAAGTCCAAGGAAAATATACAAGACCCTGTCTCAAAACACAAACAAAAAACCCCCATCTTTGCTGCGTATTTTAGTACCTATTTTTCTCGATCTCTATTATGATTCTAATCCCATTTCAAACCTATGGATAACAATACTCTTGATTGCTCTAATGTAAGAAGACTTTTGATTTATATTTCCTTTGAGTTATATTTCCTTCCTTAATTGATGAGGTGTTTCTTTGTCTAATGTTGTACCCAGGTGCCCAGTATTGACAGTACCAGGCAGGAAAAGGTCTGAAAGAAGCAGTTGGGATGCTTGATTTGCATCATAAATGTTCTCTTAGAATTAGAAAGTGTGCTTACATGAAGGACTCTGAAGGGGGGGGTGGACAGGTGAAGGGTATTCTTCCTCGCTTTATTTCCCTCAGAGCTGCTTCTGTAAAGTGTGCCTGCACAGGGGTTGCCAAAGTTAGACTCCTTCTATGTCATATAATCCACAAATAAATAAAATGTATAGAAAAATAAGCAAACTTTTTTTTTCAATATATTCTACTTAAATATTATGTCCAATGGATGTAGCAGAGTTCAGTGGGCAGATGCCAATGGACACAAGAATTTTAATTTCTTCCTGGGGATATTGCGAGAGGGGTCCTTTAGGTCTGTTTGTTTTGCTCTGATACTAATTCTACTTTTGATTCAAGTATCTCTCTCTACCTCTCTCTCTCTCTCTCTCTCTCTCTCTCTCTCTCTCTCACACACACACACACACACACACACACAGAGTGCTAGTGGCACACACAGTCTGCATACAAAACTGACAAGGATGAAAAGCCTGTATCCTTAATAGTGAAGAGTTGGCACCATCACCCTATATGAAAACCTGTTGTATATGTTCTCCTTTTTTAAAGATTTTATTTAGCTTTATTTATTTAGTTTTTATTTATTTAGTTTTTTTAACTAGCTCAGCCATAAAGAACACTGATTATTCTTTCAGGTGATGGGGATTTGATTCCCAGGCCTTATGCAGCAAGCTTGAATCTATCTTTATGTCCAGTTCCAGGTGATCTGATACCCTCTTCTGGTTTCCATGGGCACTGCGTGATCATGTTGCACAGACATACTGCAGGCAAAGCATCCACACATAAAAACCAAATTGGTAAACAAGTATTTTAAAAAGATTTTATTTTTAAAGGACTTGTATATGTGAGTGTGCGTTTTGGGCACATGAACGCAGTGCCCATGAAAGCCACAGGAGAGTTTTGGATCACCTGGAGCTGGATTAACTGCAAAAGCTGTGAGCTGCCCAAGGTGGATGCTGGAAACTGAGACAGCTCTGCAGGAGCAGTAGGTGGTCTTAGCTGTCTTAGTCATCTTTCCATCCCAACACAGAAGCTTCTAATAGAATTAGAGGTTACAGAGCTAGAAGCTGTGCTTCTTAAAAACACCAGCCATCTGTGGGGATGAAGGGCAGCGCTGTTCAAAATGAGCACCAAGTGGCAACTGGTTAATTTCTACTGAGAACGCTTCAGACCAGTGAATTTTAGTGACGTGATGATGAAGAGGCCTGTCCACTCACTAACAGGTTTTCCTAGGAAGTGTTTCTATTTATAGTAATATAATGTTTTATACTTCACCAGGATAAGCTGTGGTGCGCGGACATCTACAAATTGTGATAACCCTTTGGAAGCACTGAATCCTGCTCACCCAGCTCCAGGAGCTGTGCAAATGAGAATCAAAAATGCCAACAGCCACCACGACAGGCTGAGCCAAACTAAATCCATGATCCTCACCGATGCTGGGAAGGTCACTGAACCTGTAAGTCAAATACTCCAAACACTTTCTCTGAGCAGACAGATAAAGAGAAAGAGAGAGAGAGAGTGAGAGAGAGAGAGAGAGAGAGAGAGAGGAGAGAGAGAGGGAGAAATGCTAATTAGCTTTGTTTTGTTTGTTTACCTAATGTACACCAGAAAACTGTTTTGTAATGGATTTTATCTTGCCTAGTTATAGTCATAATAACATCCCCAGTTACAAGAGCAGAGCTGGGCCTCATCCAGAGTGATAAAGGGGATGGGGAGCCAGGCTGAAGAGCACCTTTGACTCATTTTAAAGGCCTCTGCCATCATGCTTCACTGTCATAAAAATAATGAGGTTATGCTAGCACGCGGCGTTTGTACTTCCAAATACAGTACATCACTTCGAAAAGCCAGAGGCTAAAATTAGCTAAGAGTGCACTGAGGGAGAAAAAAAAAATCAACAACTTAAAAAAATGTGAAAATCTCTTTCTTAAAATCTCCCCATAGTAGAGAAGAGTGGAAAGTGTGGTTTGCTTTGCGGTGGGCTCCAGCGGCTGCAACGGTGCGGCTCTTTAAGGTTTGGAGAGGAAGCCATTTTGTTCCGATAATGTGTCATTAGAAGGATCTGAAATAAAATAGTTAGGGATGAACTCTACTGCCAATTGTGTCCCTGGCCCTGCACGCATCCTGAGCCACTAAACCCACTGATTACGATGAGTCTCCTCTGGTTAATTTTCCAGCATAATGGTGGTAACTTGCAGCTGAGGCCATAGAATGTTACAAAATTATTTATGCAGTGTTAGCCACTCTTTTGGACCCCAGATCTATTTTGTTTGTCACAGAGAGAGGAGGAGTGAGAGATAAGTTAGCTGGGGACAGACTGCGAGTCCCAGTCACCGTGCAGAAGCATGTGAGCTATTAATCGAGTATTCTGATGTTATCATAGGGGCGTATGAAATATTCACCTCCCTGAGTTATTCAATGAGGTAAACTGACTGAGTAGACTGTTACCAATCATATTTATTTTCCACTTTTCACTTGCATTTTCAAGTGCAGAATTAACCCACAGCAATCTCAGGGGGCTGAGAAATACATAAATTTAATCATTTCTTCTTCAGGTGTTGTAGGCAGAGTAACGCGAGAGAGCCCGTGTTGGTACAGGGGTAGTGAGAAACCCATCCTTAGACGAGGTAACTCGTGAGCAAAGCCTTTGCCTTTATTGACTTTCTCATTTACAACGATTGTCTGCTGGGAGGCACAGCACCGTCAGCTGCCTCCGCTTTCAAGCCTCCGCTTTCAAGCCAGCCTAACTGTTCCTCGACTATGAACATGAGACAGTGGTTGGAGTCAATTATCGGACCCTCTCTATATGTTCCCTCCAGAAGAACTGTACCTTGAGAAAAGTTTAGAAGTTAAGTATATTTAATGATGCCTAGCATATTTTATTGGCTGTGTTTAACAAAAGGCACTATGCCGCAGTTGTTTTTGACAAGCATGAAAACATCACAGCATGAGACTGCAAAAGGAATTATGGAGAGAAATTACAAGTGATCCATCTCTCAATGAATTATCCACCTCAATAGCCCGCAGAACTCAGCTACCAATTAACACCTACTTTATTACATGTTGGGATGTACTTAATAACTTTCATGTGTTTATGCACTATTACCTTGACTGATGCCTCTTGTACAATTAGGCATAATTGGCATATCAATATGCAAAAGTTAAAAGGATTAACCCTCTTAAAACTAATGAGCATTTCTGTATCCAGCTGCTAAATGAGACAAAATTAGCATTTTTTACTTTTGGGCAGGATTTTATCATGCAGTTTCTCATTGTTGGTATTACCTTGTTACATAACTTTAGTTTGGGGGGTTGTAGGCTGGACGGCTGGAGAAAAAAAAAAAAGAGTTCTCCAAAGTTAAATTAGCTGTAATTATCCCAGTTTTTGTTTCCGCATTCTTAGTCTGAGCAATATGGATTCCTCGATAAGTAACAAAAATAAAAGTTACTTCTGGTTATGGGTACTCGGTGCATAATTATATAAAAGGGGGTATGTTAGTGAGGATATGTCATTTCACGGAGGAAACTTGGCTCAGAGAGCCTGTATTGAAAGCCTGCCATGGCACTAATTTTCTTTCTGTCTCAGTTCTTTTCATCTTTTTTTTTTCCATGCACAATTCTCTGACTAGATACTGACAGAATGTAAAGTATTTTGGCATATTTATTCAAACAAGCCTGTTAAAGTTATCTGCTTGGTTCTTCAGAAGTTGGGTGACGGTGTGAGGTCAAGGGGGAGAGTTCGCATTTGGAAGTGGGGCGAGATACCCTAAAAATGTGTACGCGTGTTTACACAAAGCAGTTTGCTAGTAGAGAGACACACACATGGTGTCTCTACAAAAGAAACACTAGGTGCTTGGAGGTCCCGCATATGCTGTGTGTCTTGTTCAATAAAAATGTCTTGTTTATAATATCTGTTTATTGGAAAGTCTCATTTTAAACTACTGAACTAACTAATGGCATAGATTGTCAGATAATCCCAGTGATTTCATTATTATTTTTAATGTTTTAGGGTAAAATCAATAGACTTTTTCACTAATTCCTAATTTCACTTATTGAGTTGCAGCATTTTTATATGACTATGTACTTATACCATAGTATATAATATTATGTCATTTGTAAGTCTTTTAAGATTCTGAAAATTGAAGGTATTTTGAAATGCTAATGTAGTTTTTCAACCCCCAGAATTACAAGCAGAGGCGAATTTGGTTGGGAATTTGGGGATTTTTGCATGTGTTCTCTTTAAACATCAAATAATCAATATCAAAATTTCAAGATGTGAATTTGATACTCAGGGAATGTTAAGAAGCTAGGACTATTGGATGTGGAAGGATGCGGGTTGCAAGAAAATTGCCTCTCCATAAAAGAAATACAGAGCATTCCAGTTGAGTGGAAAGGAGCTCCCTGGTTTCCACAGTGATCAATTGTCCCATGCAGAGGTGCACAGTGAGACCCCTGAAAGGAGGGTGGCTTGTTTTCCAGAACATACTAGTTGAAAAGCAGTCAGCAAAGGGGAAAAAAATGGAGCAAGTGAAGTTGCCTGTCTAAGGGCAGAAAGGCCAATGTGCAATCCAGCAAAGAGCTAGTGCCAAAGGTTCAGTGCACTTCGATGCCTATTTATCGTGGGGATGCTCCAGTCTACCAGACAGTTTAAAATAGATATTAATGAACAGTTTAAGCAGTCCAAACCAGGAAGCTGCAAACACAGGATCTGCAGGCTGGAGCCATTTCAGCATTTAATGCTGGTGTCTTCAGCAGTGACAAGCATGAATATTCACCATTCCCATCCCGCAAACCCACAGAAGGGCATTACTACATTCATGGCCATCATGAAGAGGGAAATATGTTTTCACTGATGTTTCGAGGAGGACTTAGGTCGTCGAGCCATCCCTGAGTGTTAACATACGAGATTCCTCTCACCCCCATTAACACACTGCTCCTGGTCTCTCTCTTCTCTGTCTCTCATTTCAATGTATTATCAGGAGAAAGAAGAAACAAATTTCTTTTGTTTCTTACTTCTGTCGTTATAGGACACTTGCCAAAGTTGTGGCTAGCCAAAAAGGCAGACATAAAAATCACTACTAAAAATATAAGCCTTCTGTTTAGCAGACTTTTTGAGAAATATTATGAGATTGTAGGGCATGTCCATATTTACTTCAAATCAAGCTTATAGTTAGGTTTGAGGCTTTGTTTGGATAAATTGTCCTGAAGTGGATCCTGATATTTAATTAAAATGACACTAAATCACATTGAATTGATAAGACTTGGCATCTCAAACAAAGGTAATTGCCCGTATTGGTTTTGTGCAAAAATAGCTCTGCTTGGAAAATGTGCAGGCAACACAGACTGTCAACTCCATTTATAGATCAATATGTGAAAACCATTGATCAGGCAGGCATGTGTAACAGTAACACTTTGCATTTATTTGTTGTTTTTATACCACATTAAGGCTTACAGGATTATAGACTTCCTAAATATTTTGACTCCCTCATAAATATATGATCTGTTGCATGTTAATTAAATGAGAGACTGTAGCCATTTCTAAAATTGTTTTTAGTTTGATGATTTCCTTTTATTGCCGTGGATCGTATGATCTGGAAATGGATTAGTTTCCTTTTGCATAAAGATTATTAAAGCTTATTTTAATGTGTCCTATTTAATGTAAGACGTGCCTGCCGCTTTGCTTTGGAAAACAGATACAGGCCGTTATTTTCTCTTAGTGAGTGACTGATCTGTTTTTTATTAACTGGGCATTCTCGGTGCACAGGGTAGAATTATTTCCTGACATATTCTGCACACCCTGAAGATAACAGGTCTTCTTGATTTCCCTGATAGAATTTGTTTTCCTTCTTTTCTTTTTGATCTAGCTCCGTGACACAGGCATCTGATCGAACATTACGTAGAAAACAAACTGATCATTTCAATTAAATTTTAAACACACACGCCAATGCAATTTGAATTCTATCTTTCTGATTTGAGAACGAGCCTCGTGAACGGTTCTTCTATACTGCATTCTGCAGCTGAATCTTCCTTATCTCATCAGTGTAAGGACAGCGTTTTGTTCCTAATCTTTATTGGACTATTGTAGATGACATTTGTGAGCCATTTTGGTTTATAAGGAAAGGCTGGAGGACAGTGGAGTGAGACTCTCTGCAGATCCAAAGCTCTGATACGACGATGCAATCATGTGTCTGCCAGTGCAATTTTCTTTGCCACTGAGAGGTCAATTCTGTTGAAGAATCTTTTTGTACGCTCTGTAAACGTTAGCAGGGCTGCTTTCAAGATGGTATTCAGCTTTGTACACGATATGAAAATGCTACAAGAAGCAAGCAAGACTTCAGACGTACCAAGTTAAAAGAGAACGAGACAAGAACAATAAACAGAAACTCCCAGGTTGCCTAAGGTAACCGGGCTCCAGCTGTTAGCAGCCAGGCCGTGGAGGCAGATGAAAAAGTTTGTTAG